GAGTGGGCGTGGACGCTGACGATGGTGGTGAATTTGGATACCCGAAGAGGCAGGCACAGGCTCATCAGTCGGTGTTTGATGCCGCGGGGCAGATAGAGCAGTCGTCCCACTACTTCGTTCTGGAGGACAAAGGCGGAGCCTGCGTCCCGTAACTCTGTCTTTGGACGGCCGCTCTAGAAAGTATGGTCAGACATGGCTGTGCAGCTCCACCTGATGGACACAATACTAAAAGAAGCGAAGAGACGAGTACAAGGAAGCAGTCTTGAAGAAGAAGACACGATCGCCGGGACAAGACCTTTATTAGCCTGAAGTTTCGGATTCCTGCTCGAATCCATCATCAGAGACAAAAGCAGATAAGGGTAGTTCATGCATATGCGGCTGCAGTATTTGTAGGATGCAGTAGACATGCCGAACTACAATACCTCCGACGGGTCTTCAAAGCCAATGGCTACCCACACAACTTCGTCAACCGGCGCATACGCAAAAGGGACGAAAGGCCTAACCGCACAGACACCAAAGTTTGGCGAGCGCTTCCATATGTCAAGAACGTTTCGGAAGCTGTTGGCCGCCTTCTCGCACCACTTGGGGTTGGAGTTGCACACAGGCCGGAGGCAACCATCAGGCGTCAGATGATGAAACCACAAGACCCACTGCCACAGCAAAAAACGTCTGGACTCGTTTATCGGATCTGGTGCAGTTGTGGACAAAGCAACTACGTCGGAGAAACCGGAAGACAACTCCAAACGCGAATGGCCGAACACGCGGCAGCGGTGCGGAGAAATGACGCTAGCTCTCAAGTTGCGGCTCATTCGACGGGTTCCGGCCACAAATTCAAATTTGACGAGGCCGAAATTCTAGCAAGAGGTGACAACCGCGTGAGCCGGGAGCTGCTTTAGGTTGAGGTTAGGGAGCTGCTTGAGTCATGGTTTACTGGCCCTCAGTCTATGCACAAGTGCAATGATCTTCCCATTCAATACTCCGGGCTGAGACTTCGTCTAGGCGGAGTAGTTGGCCACGCGGGGTGCGCCCAGGTGAACACTCTTCCCAACACCCGGGTCAGCGCGTCAGATGGTCGAGCAATCATCAAACCAACATCCAACGCACGTGAAGAAATTGCAGCAATTAACGACGCGAACGTCGGTCATCACGCCACGTGCAACGATCCATGATGAAGGGGGGGGGGGGGGAGAGCCGTGAATATTCATAGGTATGCGGTAGCATGGCTACTGCATCCTATAAATACTGCAGCCGCATATGCATGAACTACCCTTATCTGCTTTTGTCTCTGATGATGGATTCGAGCAGGAATCCGAAACGTCAGGCTAATAAAGATCTTGTCCCGGCGATCGTGTCTTCTTCTTCTTCTTCAGGACACAATACTGTTGGGGTTGGGGATAGGAGTCCGGGTTAGGGATTATGGTTAGGGGCTAGGGTTAGGAGTTAAGGTTAGAGGCCATGGGTTAGGGTAAGGGGTTAGGGTTAGAGCAGCTACTTCCCAACCACTCTAAGTACGACCGCGCTTTCCCAATAAATAAATAAAATTTATTTAAGACCCTTGGGGGTCCCATCATTGCAAGTAAAAATAAATTTTCAAGTAAGTTTTACAAGACGTAGACAGATTCTGTACATTATACAGTTTTCGGTTGTGGAATAAACAGTTAGACTTAAAAACGGTCAGCTAGCAGTAAAAAAACTGATGAAAAAGACAAAATGTATATGAATTGTTTAGTTTTAGGGAGAAAAAAGTGCCGTTCATGAAAGGAAAAATATGCGGGTCGAACATGACTGGCCCGAATATGGTATTGGATAAGGGATTGAAAAACCTAAATCGTCAAGGCATAGCTTCCTAAATCAGACGAGGTAATCCGCCTCGAAGAGGCAAGATAGGGGGACTTAGACACAATCGGACACAGTCCGCTTAGAGTCCAGCCGGAGATGGGACATTAAGCGCAAGGGCGGTAATCGGAGCGTAGAGCGGAGAATGCGAACCTGAGATCTCTCTGCTGACCGACCAACCCACAAGCAAATGGCGAAAGCAGAGGATTCACGTTGTGATCGTCAACAGACCATTCGGGGTCGAAATGAGGACTTGACATCAAGACCTGCGGTTTGAGGGTTCGAAATCGTGGGAGGCAGAGTGGAATTCTGATGAGCGTCGGCGATCAGCAAAACTGAGGTGGCTTAGAGTGTGCCCGTCAATCCAACCACGCCACTTCCTTGAGAGGATTTGTCAGGAAGGATGTCGCATTTTGTGAAGGACGCAATGCATGAGCTGAAAAGCCGGAAAAAGTAAGATTTTTGATGAAGGATCCTAGGAAGTGGAACTACACACAAAAGAAGGAAATGTGGGCGGATACGGAAATTTATTGGCGGCGTCCTAAATTCCTGGTTGTCCTTTCTCAGTGTCACTGAGAGAGTTGTCCAGGAAGCATGAGGAAAATAAAAGTTTAATCAAATCAGTATTCAGATAAGGGCACAGCCCTCTCTTAAAAGTATGTGGATAATCTGATAATGTTTTATTTATTGGAAGATTAATACAGAGAAAAGTATACCTGGAATTGAAAAAAGAGAACGCTTAGAGGTGGAAGAAGCGGGAGGAGGTATAATCAAGGAAGAATTGCGAAGATTGTATGAGTGACTACCAGGGGTAAGTGCTGAAATCCGGGGAAGATTTGAACTATTATTAATGCGAAATAGGAGACAAAAACCTGCTTCTAGTCTTCGAAACCATAAAAATTTTAGGTAAGTTATCTGGTATCTATCGGGATAGGAAATAAGTGGGTGTTGCGAACCCAAGAGTCTTTTATTAAAATGCCTTCGAACATTTTCAATTTTTGAACGATTAGCCTCTCATTAAGCCAAAGAATGAACAACAACGCTCGAGAATGGGAAGTACAAACATTCGATAGAGTTTTAATTTAATTTCAGGAAGACAGAAATTTTAGGAAACAAAGCCACAAATCTAGGCTGCTTTGGCCGTACTTCTGTCGGCGTGTGGCGAGAGGTCTCGATTATTGGCGTAGCTTAAACCTAAATCCTTGATGGTGGTACATTCAGTCACGGGTGCACCTTGAAAGACCACTGGTTTGGGTAGCCTATCCAGTTCAAAGCATAAAAAGCGACATTTTTATGGAGAGAATTCCGTTAACCAATTTGAGCTCCACGCTAAAGATCAAGCAAGTCAGCATGGATTTGATCCCGGCATTGAAGGATCGTAGATTTATTGAATGAATATGCAAATTTGACATAATCAGCCTAACTAAAGGACTGAGAATGTTTAACTGCCGACGAGATATAATTTATGTACGGCAGGAACAAAAGAAGACCTAAAACGGTACCTTGTAGGACACCACTTACAATAAGGCTCTCACTGGAGAATGAAGATCCCACTAAAACCTTCTGTCTATGATTAGACATGTATGACTTGATAGGGTCTATAAAGGAACTGTGAATTCGCAGAGCTTATAATTTAACTAACTCTGTGGCGCTTTATCAAAGATTATACTAAGATCAAAATGAATGACGGCAACAGATAGATGGTCATTACGAAGAGAAGTAGACTGAGAAATTACATATGACATGCTTCACAAGAGCGCTTAGGTAAAAGGCCATGTTTGGAAGCCAGATTTAAATACTGAACTAATAATAGAAGTTTTCCAACAGTCTGGAAAAAAGCCATTTTTGAGAGAAAGACTGAAAAGAGTTTGCTAGGCAGAGGAGGAAAACCTCTTAACTGTTTTATAAGAGAGATCTGAATATTATCTGTACCTACTGAGTGCGAGTTAGTAAGCTGGTTTATCAGTTTTTAAATAATTGCAGGAGCAAAATTAATGGCGGCGAGGGAGGCATCAAACATAGGAGGAATTGAAGGGATTGAGTCAGTCTTAATTGTGAAATGTTTGGTAAAGAATGAATTTAACTTTTCTGCTTTTCCTGACTCCTCTGTAATGAAGGTCTCGTTGGAAATAAGCAAGGGCGGAATGACTTGGTGGGACTAAGCTGATGATCTTTGACAGAAGACCTGGGCAACAGATCTAGAAGCATTCCAGCCACTAACAACTAAAGACTCTCTAGGCCTATCTCGTGCGAGCCTACGATTATCTTGACATCGAATGAAGTCTGTGATTTTTTAAAATAATTCACATACTTGACTTTTATTTCCGGGGTAAAATGAGGGATTATATGCACATCCGATTAAGGCTTTCCTATTTTGCGGAAGGATAACCGAAGAGAAACAGATTTTCAGAGGATGAAGAAACGTTCAGGTCATAAGGCGAATGTGCAAGTGAGGCTCTGACGTAAACAAGGCAGCCACCTCAACGTTTTAACACGATCCTGGCGGTATAATCTGAGGGCTCTATAGCGAGCGTCGAGTCTGAAACTAGAGAGTGCGCCCAAGATTCTGCAATGCACAAAACATCTGTGTCAGACTCAAAGGCCACACCACTTAGCTGCACCATCTTTTGCCCTACTGATCTTGCGCTGAGAGAGGCCATACTGAGCGTATTCCTAAGATACAGGCTTCGCTCATTATTACTTATAAAAAAGGAAGAGTTCGTGCTGGAAAATTAAGCTGTAGGGAAGAAGTAAAGGATGGAAAACAAAGTTGCTGAGGTCCGAAAGTTGTGGGGAATTACCACTAACTAAATGCAGCACTGTATAGAGACACAGTTGCTGAGGACTCATGAAAAGGAATGCTATTTCGTGGGGTTGGAAAAACAGGAGGCATACAAATAGGACTTTGAGAATTTTGAGCATAATATGATGGGTGATTTATGTTAGAAAATGGACTAAATGGGTTCGAGAAACCGTTTACCTTATGAGAAGGCTTTGTTATATGGGCTGTCAGGCTAGCTGTGTGATTGTGAAAATTATCAGCAACACTGCATACTTACAGCCTACAGACCGGTATGTTAGTGGGCTTCCCAGCTGTAATGTCTTCGTTAAATTGAGAATTCAGGATAGGACCAGGTAAAGATCGTTCTGGGCTAGTATCTGCCTTATTTGATTTTACCGCTTGGTCAGACTTGGTTGGCCTGAGACGGGAACGGTATGGATTCGACCCGGGTTTATTAACTAATTCATTATTCTGAGCCATGGAGGTCGACCGCACCTCTAGGATTTTTCCATCGTTACTGTTAAAATCAAGCGTTCTGGTAAAACTGGCAGCAGCATTTGAGCAATTATCGCTTCTTGGAGGCGTTTCAAGGTGACAGGTTTCAACTAAATCAGTGATAATGTGCTTGGCTGAAGAGGCTAGATGGAACTAGCGCCGCCGCAAATATGGGGAACATTTGGTTGACGCCTGATGGGGAATATTCCTCGGAGGCAAATGGCTGGAGACCAGAATTCTGGGACGGCTGTACGTTTGCTAATGAGGGGGAACACTGCGTTGCAGTGGAGTTTATCCCGACCAATGAAAAGCTTATTTCCTCTAAGATACTGAGCTGAGTGCTTCAAATAGGAGAAAATAAAACTCACTCCTATCAGCAAAAATAATTTGACAAGAGTTGGTGGATTTTTTCTCCTAGATGAAAGTCTTTTAGCTTCAACTACCTTAAAACTGAGGCCACAAGAGTAGGGGAACTGGAAGGCGACATCGATGGGCTGTCTATTCTTAGGAACATTTTTAAAATAAAATTAAAACTTCGCTTGCGCCTGTCGTCGGTCACACTAACAACGAGGTTGATGAGAGGCATGAGATTCTCGCATTGCTAAAACGTAAGTGTTGGCACCCTTCCTTCAAGAAGAACAGTAAAAATAGAAAAAATGACCCGTAACGAGACATAAAATTGTTAAAAATATCGAGCGCTTCCAGGTCTATTTTTCATATTGACGATGGGTTTTAAACGATATGCTTGGAATTTAAATTCCTTCAAACATCGAAGAAGGTTTGCCTGAAGTTTCATGTCGAAGAAAAACAAGACAAGAGCTTGCTCCTAATTAATAGGGACGATAGCTGCCGAAACTTTGAGAATATAAGGGTGGGACTAGATTATCAAAAAATTTCTGAAAGTTCAGGATTTGGGAGCTAAGCTACCGATGTCGGTAGACCAGACAGCACAATTGTCACTAGGCGATTTTTACTTAATAATAGAATGCAATGGTAAAACAAAAGATAAATGACAATTTCGTTGATGATAAAACAAAACTATAATAAAATTTGTATTTGATAGCTTTTTACACAACTACTTGAACACGTCGCCTGTACGTTCACCGGCTCCACTTGTAAAAACTCCCATTACTCCTGGTCCCGTCTTACAGGTGGCTGGGCTGAGACGAGCATTTGTACTAACTGATAAGAAATTGTTCGGTAAAACCTATGGGCATTCATTCGGTCTTACTTGGAATATGCCGCACAGGCTTGACGTCTGCGGCTCAAGAAGGATTATCAACTTCTGGAATGGGAGCAGGTGAGGGTCACAAATAGAATGAAGATTCATTGTCATCTGCCTTAAGAGACCAGACTTGGTGAACTTCATTTGTTTCCTCTAAATTACAGGCTACTTCTCGGTGACTTCATACAAGCCTACCCGTCTGTTAGAGACCGTGAGTGTACCCTAGAGTTTGGTGATTTCTTCGAATTTGTTGGAACGAAGTCTCTGCGTTGTCAGCCCATTAAACCGTAGGGAGTGTTGGCCTTCACGGACGTTTGACGGAGCGCCTTCCAACAGAGGGTAGTTGAAGCCTGAAACGGACTCCCTGCTGTGGCGGTGCTTGCAGACATTGTTAAGGCATTTGATGGATGAGTAGATACTCATTTGCAGAGAAGCTACCGTACATATAACTAAGATTTTGTCCGTGACTGCAGCTTTCGCATGGCTCACACATATCAATGATTTTCTACTTCCCATAATTACTGCCGCGGAAATCATTGTCGTTGCTTTTTCAGATATGACTAGAGAGATCCATGACAGAAGCCTTCTTCTATGAGCAAAGTAACTATCTCTAAAGGGTAGTAATTTAACGTCTATCTTACAGCAACCATTATATCCGGCGATTGAAAATCGCGCCGCTGAAAACGAAAAATGATCAAAAGATCGTAGTAAACAGGCAGTCATGCGTTAGTCCTGCTGAATCAAACCTTCCTAAATCGGTGGAAGGTTGTAGCCGGGATGCACGCGATGAAGACTCTGTAGGTATGATTATACCGCAAGACCGTCTAGTTGATCGCAGTAAATGCATCGTTATAAAGGGCATGCCTGAGTCCGTTTCCGACGCTTCAAAGGACAGAATACAACATGACATAGAAATATTCCAGGAATATCTCAAATCGATCTTAATAAGAGACGAAAAAGTCACAGTATTAAAGGCTTTCAGGATGGGCAAAATTAAAGACTCAAAACAAGATCCAGACCGACCGAGACCGTTAAAAATTGTCTTTGAGAATGACGAACAAGCACAGCTACTTTTGAGCAGGAAAGCTGCGCTTAAACACGCCCATCCATCAGTTTTTTTTCAGCGGGACTTTTCACCCGCGGAGCGAGAAAAATGGAGACGGCTCAAATTGGAAGTCCTCAGGCGGTCGAGTCTGGGCGAGACAAATCTCAAAATAGTGGACGGAAAAATTATACGCGTCCAGAGGCCATTCCTCTGGAGAAAGCCCATAACTCTAACAGCTTAGGAGTGAAGGAAAGCAGTTCATCCCGATCAGCTCCGACCGGCTTTTGCATTCAATCCCAAGAACTGGAAAAACGCCAGTATGCCGGAGTTGCTCATGCCAAATTGAGATTTTTGTATACCAATGCTCAAAGTCTCGTTTCGAAAATCGACGAACTCAAAGCGAGAGTACCGGAACAAATCCCCGACGTCATCGCCATAACGGAAACTTGGCTTAATGCCGAAATCATGGATGCTGAGATTTCGATACCGGGTTACCAGCTGTTTCGTAGAGACCGTCAAAATAGGCAGGGCGGAGGGGTAGTCGTATATGTAAGGGAAGGAATTTCAGCAGTTAAAAGAGCCCACACCCTCTCCCTTGAATATAAATCCGTCTGGATAAAGATAAAGAAGAGCAATGCACAAAATCTAGAATTTCTGGCAATTTACAGACCACCAAATCTTCTGAGTGCAGCTGATGAGTCGCTCCTTGGTTTAGTCAAAGACGTAGCTAGCCACCAAGAGGTACTTATTGCTGGGGATTTCAACGCACCTGCAATAGAGTGGGAAACTATGGCAGTTAACGGTGGACCAGCCTCTTTCAGCAATAAGCTACTGGACCTTACACTCGATCTCTCTCTGGCGCAACATGTGAAGGTACCAACAAGATTTCGAGAGAACCAGAGAGCAAATTGTCTAGACCTAGTTTTCACTAAAGACTTCTCTAATATCGACGAAGTGCATTCCAATGCACCTCTCGGGAAAAGTGACCATACTACGCTACTATGGGATTACTCGCTCTTCTCTAAACGCCAGAAGAGAACAGAGGGCCAACCTAATATATGGAAGGCAGATTTTAATATGATGAAGAACGAATTGCTGTCCGTGAATTGGGACCAAATACTCAGGGGAGATCCGGAGGACGACTGGAGATCTTTTAAAACGATTTCACTCGATCTGATTAGGCGCTGTTGTCAACCTAAAGTACAAAAAACAACTGGTCGACCTGCTTGGTTAACTAGGGACCTAAATAGGCAGCTACGGAAGAAAAGCAAAAGATGGAAAATATTCAGGGAAACTGCGTCACCAGCGCATTTCGAAGAATTTCGTCGTCAACGAAATGCCGTCAAAAAATGTATCCGTCAGGCACGGGAGGAGTATGAATCCAAAATTATACGACAGGCTGAACAGAAGCCTAAGATTTTATTTCACTATCTGAACAGTAGACTGAAAAATAAGGACCCGGTCGCGGTGCTGAAGGATGATAATGGTGTAGAGATCATTGAGAACAGCGAGAAAACCGAACACTTAGGACAGTATTTTGCCTCCGTTTTTACTAGAGAAACAGAGTTTCGCTGTCGCAGTGCCGGCAATGCTCTTGAGACTGTTGGTCCCGTGCTTGACTCCATACTCTTCCCGGCAGCTGCCGTGGAAAGGGAGCTGAAAAATCTCAAAGAAGCAAAGTCCTCGGGTCCGGACAATATACCGGCCAAATTCTTGAAGGAACTGGCGAATGAACTTTCCAAACCACTGGCGCACATCTTCCGCTCGTCATTCGAATTAGGGAGGTTGCCATCGGAATGGAAGATAGCAAATATCTTTCCGATATACAAGGGCGGGGCTCGCACTAATGCTAACAATTACCGGCCTGTTAGTCTAACCTGCATCTGCTGTAAAATAATGGAGGCCATAGTTAAGAAAGCAACTATGGAGTTCCTGGAGCAGGGCCATTTAATCTCAGACCTGCAGCACGGCTTTAGACAGAACCACTCGTGTCTTTCCAGTTTATTGCTCTCGACGGAGCAGTGGACTCGCGCAATGGATGAGGATGGGAGGGTTGATGTCATATGCACAGACTTTAAGAAGGCGTTCGACAGCGTCCCACACAAACGCCTAATCTACAAACTTTCGGAAATTGGGATAAGAGGAACGCTGCTGACATGGATAACAGATTTTCGTACCGGGAGATCGCAAACCGTGTGCATTGAGGCCTCAAGGTCAACTCCTACTCCCGTTCTAAGTGGTGTACCCCAGGGCTCCGTCTTCGGGCCGTTGCTATTCCTGGTTTACATTAACGACTGCGTCGACGACCTGGGATGCAGCGCCATCATGTTTGCTGACGATGTTAAGCTGTGGAGACCCATCAGATCTGATGCAGACAGGTACGCGCTTCAAGACAGTCTCAACCGCCTAAACAGTTGGTCAGCTCGCTGGCTCCTCAATTTTAATGTGGACAAATGTGTGGTCCTGAGACTCCGCACCAGACGGACCAGTAAGGAGGACGATTCCTTTCAATGCGTCCTTGGTGGTCAGCCCCTTTCAGATGTTGTGGAACAGAAAGACCTGGGCGTCCTAATGACCTCCTCGCTGAAACCATCTTCACAGTGTCAAAGGGCAGCCGAAAGTGCGACAAGGGTGTTATTTGCGCTGAGGCGAGGATTTGTGCAGATCGATAAAGAACTGTTTGGTAAAACCTATGGGGCATTCGTCCGGTCTCACTTAGAGTATGCAGTCCAGGCCTGGCGACCGTGGTTAAAGAAAGATTATCAACGACTGGAAAGAGTACAGGCGATGGCTACGAAGATGGTCAAGAAACTTCATCATTTGCCTTACGAAACCAGGCTGACCGAACTAAATCTGTTTCCTCTAAATTACAGGCAACTGCGCGGTGATCTCATTCAAACCTACAGGTTTGTCAGAAGCCGTGAGTGTGCCCTAGACTTTGATGAATTCTTTGAATTGGCCCGGACTGACCGTCTGCGTGGTCATCCGTTCAAACTACAAAGGAAGCGGGCTCATTCGGACGTCCGACGGAACGCCTTCTCACACAGGGTCATCGAGGCATGGAATGGACTCCCTGATGCCGTCGTTCTTTCCGAAAGTGTCAAATCCTTTAAGTGCAGACTAGACGCTCACTTGTTGAGAACCTACTGTACATACAATAATGATTGTTTTAGCGGCGGAAGTTTGCGCCTAGCTCACACTTACCGCTAACTTCTTAACTTTTCGCATTTGCTGATGTAATTGATGACTTTATTTCTGTTTATCGATATGAATAGGGTGCTCAAGGGCGAAAGCCTCATTCCCTTAATAAACTGACTTAAAACTGACTTGAAACAAGCTTCAGCCGCCTTCCTGCCAGATAAATACTCCGACAGGGGATTTGAAACTATAACTTGTCAGTCTCGTCAGTTTAATATTGCAAATCATGGGGAAGTCATCTTTTGTAGTCTGTGCAACTTTCTGCACGAGTACAAACTGACGTATCCCTGTTATCATAGCCTTTTTAAGGAACCATAGTGCCACAGAAACCCCGCCACGAAAGAACTTCTGTGCAGAAAGCTAGACAGCAGGTAAATGTCAAGACTGTGTTTCTAGATCTGGACAGGACATCGAAATCCGTTGGTCACCAACTGTTTATTAATAAATTTTGCGGTATGGTCTTGCGGGAAGCGTGAGCACGTGGATTATAAGTTTTCTAGACCATAGGCCTTCTGGACAAATTTGGTAAGTTGTATAATTGACATTTCGAGCTCATAGCGATGTTACATACGAGCCTCCATCGGGCTTTATTCTTCCTGATCTACATTTATAACCAAAGGGAGAGAGCCTTTTTTGAAATTGAGTCGTCATTCTTTCTGCTCATCATTAACATTGGAATTTTCCCACATGCATATATGTTGTCATATTTTACTCATTACACACCGATCTTTTCCCGTTTTTGTTCATTTGAACCACGATAGCGAATTCATCTGCACACTGCGCTAGCGCCGTTTTAAAGGAGGTCACAGTTGACGGGATTTTGCAAATCATTCACCGGTGATTCTTCGTGAGGTCGGCGCTTACAGTTTTCGGCAATTATCCCTCGCCATCTTCTAGTGTTATCTGTTTTCGTACACATCTTACCCAGTGTGCATAAGGGACTATTTCTGAAAATTCTGAAATGATGTTTTCGTAAAAAGGTTGTCCATTTTAGTGTAAGTTTTTAGCATAAGTCCCCAGTCGTGTTGGCTGGAGGGATATCACTATGGGTGGACAGTAATTGCCACCTATCCTAAGCAGTCTAGAGACGATTTTTTAAATTCGTCTTTTAACAGCATTAGATAGCGAAGATTCTGCACTTACAGGATCAGTTGTCGTTAAAAGAGATATTAATTATCCCAGCCTGGTACAATAGAAACGATATGTAGAAAGCTGTTAGCAAGATTTAAGAACACTCTTCCTCTTTTGCTTTTGAATTCGCCGCCTTGCTGAGCGTTATAATCGGATGGTATACGCTGGATTTTTCAGCAAATCGTCGACTGTTACTCAACAGCGTGGTCTTCAAACCATGTACCTGGTCTAAAACCATAAGAAAATGCTATTACGCGTATTTACTCTAACTGTCATCCAGTTCCAGGGAAACGAGGCAGCGGATGCAACTACCCACGTCGTAATAGAGATGGCAACACGCAAATTTCCAAGATGATTAGTGGAGTGAATGATGTGACATAACTGTTTATTCGAAGTGACATCAGGATCAAAGATTGGCGAACATGACCTGACTATCTTCAAGAGAAAGCCGCTTAGAGGAATACGACAACACATAGCGTTCTGGCCGGAGAAACAAAAGCTGATTAAACCCATAAAGAGACGGAACGGACCAGCAAGAAATTACGTTCAAAGGGATGCGGTATGACCCATAACAGTGGCAAACGCAACCGAAAATGCGGTTAGAGAAAAATTGCATATCAATGCCCAAAGCCTGATATCTAAATTTGACGATCTAAAAGTTTATTATGTCGAACTGTTTCCGGTTCTGACATTAGTGGCACAGACTTGGCTGCCCCTTAATATTTCAGATAGCGTAAATACGTTGTCTGAATATCAAATACGCTGGGGGACAGGGACAACGTCAGGGTGTTAAGATAATTATGTGCATGAAAGCGGTTCTGGTGATCTCGAAAAAGACCACCAAGATGGCGTGCAGCACATAAATTATTTGTCTGACCATCAAGACTACAGGTTTCCCGCGTCCAGATGTACTCACTGTCCACTACGAAGACCAGACCGAATCGCTAACACTCACCCATTGAAGCAGTTATCTAGTGGACCTAGTGTCGTCATCATGAACGACTGAAGAGCACCAGGAATTAACTGAAGATCGGCTCGAAAGTCATGCGCAAAATCTACCTCCTACGTATTTCTACAGAAACTGCTGAATGCGTTCCGCACACAACGCGCCATGTTTCCAAACAGAGCATGTGAGTGAGTGTCCTCACTATAGTCGTGCGTTCAAATAATAAGTAGCGTAAGGCACAACGGAACGAGTGAGTTCCGTAAGAATTATCAGTGAGCGCTTGTACACCAGTGTAGCGCTTTATCGAAATATACATTAATATTAGCTGCTTAAGGGCTAATTAATGTCAGGTGAGTAAGTTCGTTTGTGTTACGCTTATTGATGATGCTGTCCATTTTAAATTTATTTGTTTTCGGGTTGTCTCGATGTTATTCAAGTGGCTGGCATCGTCAAGGCCCTTTTGTACCAACTTCTGTATCAAGGAGTTGACTTGAAAACTGTCCCATCTTATTCAAAAATATACGTTTATTGCTATTTAGAAGGAACTTCTTAGTTTTCATTTCAAAATTCGATTGGGTTTCAACATTTTCGTATAGAACTTTCGAGGGAATTCCAGAAAGTCACATATCTAATCGAGCAGACAGTTGATCTTTGGGACTTTGAATCTGGGGGTCCCTATAGATCTTCGTTATTATCGGTGTTTCAGGGGGCCTTTTTGTTTCGGTAGTAAATTTGGTTTGAGACTATCTTGGTTAGGTTTGACCGTGAATAGGAAATTGAAACCATTTTGGAGTCTTCTGATGCAGAGGGGTCAGATACTATATTAATGATATAGTCCAAATTATGAACCATGGGTGCCATCACATTGGGGCAGAGATCTAGCAGAGCGTCTTTGAATGCCTTCTAGTTTCTTTCAGCCATCTGAGGGCAGTATACCAAAGATAACTGAGCAGTAATCTAGGAGGGAAAGAGCATACATTTTAAAAAGTTGAAATATTCGCAAATGAACCCTCGCCAGCATCTACGCTCCCCCGATGGCCAGCCCTGATGCCGCAATGGACAAATTCTACGAGGACCTGCACACCCTTCTGGCGACTGTGTCGAAGCTGGATAAGTTGATTGTCCTTGGTAACTTCAACGCCCGCGTCGGCATAGACCACGCTGCTTGGAGAGGAGTGCTGGGTCCCCATGGTCTCGATGGCTCCTATGACAGTTGCCTACGCGTCTTACGAACCTGCGCAGAACACTGCCTCATCCTGACTAACAACTTCCGCCTTCCGACGCGAGAGAAGGTCACTTGGATGCACCCTCGGTCGCGACACTGACTTTTTATTGGACTATGTCCTCGTCCGGAGGCGAGACCAACGGGACGTGCTGGTGACAAAGACGACCCTGGGTGCGGACATTTGAGCCGACCATCGCGTCTTCATCTCCAAGATGAGGATTCGTCTGCAGTTTCGCAGGAGATCCCAAGGTAAGCGACACTACATGCAAGTTGAATATTGCTTTGTTGCTGTTGCCTGCTCACAACCACATTTAGGCAATGAACTAGCCCAAAGGCATACCAACCTTCCATTCGCCGGCCCCCAAATCGTGGGTCACCTGACGGTGCTCTTCCAGGAGATGCGGCGTGAAGGAAGAGGCCCGCAGGATCTCAAGGACGCCACAATCGTCCATCTATATGAGAGGAAAGGTAGTTGCCATCTCTGAGACAACCAGCGAGGCATCTCCTTGCTGAACATTGACGGAAAACTTTTCGTTCATGTTTTTCTCAACCGTCTGAACAACTACCTGGAACAGGATCTCTTGCCGGAAAGCCAGTGCGACCTCCGCTATTTTCGCGGGACAACCGATGTGATCTTTGCCAGCCGCCAACTACAGGAGCAGTGACAGGAGATGCGGACCCACCTCTATTTTACCTTCGTGGATCTGACGAAAGCCTTCGACACGGTGGATCGTGAAGGACTTTGGAAACTCATGCAGAAATTCGGCTGTCTCGAGCGATTCACTCAGACGGTGCGTGGGCTCCCTGATGGCATGATGGCACGCCGACAAATTTCGGGAAGGGAGTTAGCGGCTATGTGGGGACAGGGTATCGACTATTTTCACTGATACGTCGTTACACCACCACCCTAATGCCTACGTGTCAAAAGCGTCTACTCCATTTAAATTACCCAGCCAAATTATTGGAGCTTACACTGCACTATTTTCCTTCTTATGTGATTTGGGAATTGATTCTATTCCCACCTTACAGTCGAAATTCTTTTCCTTCGTACCACATCCCGGCTTACTTTCTACTTGGCTAGGGTTCTGGGTGTTATTTTGGTCGTTAATTATATCACCATTCAGTGACCCATGTACGCGACAGAGCAAGATGAACTGTGACACAAGTTTGCTAATATCACTAGCGGTCGTACTTTCCAACGGCTAAATAAACAACGGTTTCAAGAAAAGAGGCAAAGCTGTCGGGATCATTTTTCCGTCGCGGTCTGCCGGCTTGCCTTGACATCTGTTGCCTCATCACCTTCCAGCACGTTCACCAGTCAAGAACAAAAACAGACAAAAGTCCTTATCGTTCGTCAAAACAAACAGAGTTAACCGCTTCCTACGACACCATTGCAGTGAGCGACGAACAATCTGAAAACGTGCTTGGAAAGAATTAGCCAATCACCGAACAGGTGGCAAGGACCAATAGGGAACGCAGGTGCTCCAGCAACCCTATAAGGTCTCTGCTGCGATCTGGGCAAGCTGTTCATCGCTGCTACGACACAGCAGGAGCGGACTAAAACGACCTCCAGTTCAGGAGGTAGGGCGTTTGCAAACTGTTTCCTTCTTGTGGCTTCAGGGCCTACTGTTAAAGATTGCTCCCACAGCCGCTTCCAGCTCTAGACCTGAGTAGCTACGCCCCTCCTGTTTCTTTCAACTATTGATCAGGAATTTGCCGTGCAAGGGACCATCCCTCCCTCGTCCTGTTCTTTTCATTGTTCTAGTCATTTTCTTTTTGTTATGACGGATAGGATACGGTGACTGATAACTACTTGGGTATTCGAGAAACAACGGTATCTTACCAGTAGGTTAGGAAAGGGATGCAGGCAACTTTCACCTGATTCATTGATATTTTGGCAGATTTTGAATAATTCATATTGACCCAACTGTGAAAAACTCGGCGCCTCGGTGGGATTCGAACCTACGCAGTAAGGGGGAAGGCTTTAGTACAGCCAACGCTCGTAGCTTAGGTGGTTAGAGCGTTGGCTGTACTAAAGCCTTCCCCCTTACTGCGTGGGTTCGAATCCCACCGAGGCGCCGAGTTTTTCACAGTTGGGTCAATATGAACTTTCACCTGAGTATTTTAGCCAAAAATGTAGTCACCATCGTTTTAAATGGCAGAAGCCCAACGGGAGGGTGGTTTTTTAATGCCATGTTGGAAAAAAATGTGCCACCTCTCTAGAAAAAGTCCGGAACTGTTTTCAGTTTCCTCTCTGTTTCTGGATGTTTTGCCTGCCATAAGGTGGTCTACTGATTTCGACAGATGGGCCTTTAATAACGCCCATCCTAACAGCCTTATCTTTTGGGTTTGTTTTGTGGTGCGTGGCCTTGCACTGTCATCATGGAGGACAACACCTCTGTTCGCCCAGGCAGGATATTTGAGACGTAATTCCTCTTGTACACGATCCAGTTGTTTGCAGTGGACATCTGCATTGATTGTCCTTTCATGTGCCAGTAGCTCATAATGGATAGTACCTTTCATGTTCCACCGAATACGGAACAAACATTTTTGTGGATGAGGTTCTGGTTTTGATGTTGACACTGGCTTCTCATTACGTGATAATCATTTCTGGTTTTCTGTTGTGATGCGCAACCAGCTTTTTATCACATGCATCAGTGCGATGCAGAAATTACAGGTTGTTATTCCTGGTCAGAAGACTGCTACAGATGGTTGAACGTTATGTCCGAATCCCAGTTGCAAGCTCATGTGGAACGGCCTAGTAGAATAACGAATGGAACGGGATTACGTAGAAGTATATAAGTGTCCGGTTAGAGTCGATCAGGAGTGGTCTCGGACGGGAAGGTCATAATTAATCATTGAACGAGAAAGGGGAAGCGTAGAGCTGGAGGCGACAACGGGAAGTGGGACGCAGTCTCTAACAGTAGACCTTGAAACCACTAGAAAGAAACAGTCTGCAAAAGTTCCGCCTCCTGAACCGAAAGCCACCCTGGTAAAGCTAACCAGGTTAACTCCGTTCACTTCTGTTGTATCACATTGCAGTAATGTTTCCCGAAATTTCTTATATAACCCCAATCCTTTTGGGGAAGTCATTAGTAAACGTCCTGGCCATAGCCGTACCAGATGAACCCAAAGTTTAAAGGAACCGAAGATTAGGGCACAAGAAGACAGGATAAAGTGTGCTTCCGCGAATTTGGTTTTTTGTGTCTGCCGCCGGATTGTGGACATTTGATGTTCAATTACTGTCATTAACTCTATTTGACCCTTAGATTTCTTTTGGACCTCTGTCGAACTTAGCATCTCATATTACATAAGTGAAGAAGAAGTGTCGAGCATCGGAACACTTCTTCTTCATTTATGCATACACCTGGCACTCGAAATTCCGCCTTCATTCATCTCATATTACGTTACAGCCTCCCCTGACTATAGTTTGG